ATCGTCCTCACTGGGCGAATTTATTGTCAGGATTTTGAATGTTTGCGGAACGATATATGATAGCACGCCTGCCACCTGAGAACAGTGTCTGGAGACAGTGAGTCGTGGTTTTCGCTAGGGAAGTATGCACCGACTTTCGATTCAGTTCATCACGGATGCATAGCGTTTTTGTTGTTTTGGTTTGGTTCTTTGTTTTGTTTGTTTATGATGCCATTTTCGTTGTTGTTTATTTTTGTGCCATCGTGTTTCAGAGCAGCAGGAGCATGCCATCGACGTGGATGCGTCCACGTTGATGCAGGTGGACGGGACCACCACTGCGGCGCTCGAGCCCACAACCCAGCGAGTCTCAGCACATGTCGCAGAGCTCGAGTGAATCACCGAGCGGCAGCTCAGTGCGAACGAAATCACACGTAATATCACAGAGAGCACCAGGGGCCAGAAGCGTTTGTGTTAAGGATTGTTAGTGATCCCGCGGAGGTCAAACCCGCCAAATCGTTGATCAGGCGACAAGGCTACGTTCAGAGAGTGGAGCCAGACACCACCCTAAGTCAAGTCAGCGGCTGCAGCTTGCGGCTGTGCAAGAATTTGAATTTCAAGTTAAAGACCATTGGCGGGAGATTGCAATGGCCTGACAAGGATCGCATGAACTGATTACGATTTGGTCGCCCGTTAATGTCCAAGTGCGCTGCAGCATCGGTGGAGGCGTAGGAATAATCTGACACCAGATGAGGGTACGAGCTCGACAATGCGAGCATCCTGACACTACACGAGGGCCGCTGGTACATTTCTGCCGAAGAGCTCGAATGAGCAGGGGCCCGAGGCACAGTACATGGGTTAAACAGGATTGCGAAGGACTTTTTGCATGCCAGAACATGCACAGGTCGTGCTCGACCCTATGAGCTTGGCCACGATGCCCGATATGCTTACAAAAGCTGGCGATGCGATGTCTCAGCTTGAACACTGGTGCGTGTTGGTGAGAAGGCTTGAGAAGCACGGTGCCGCCTGCATTGCTATTCCAATTCAGATGCAGGGAGCATCGCGGACAATTCCAGTAACTGGTGTGGCGGCTGTCGTTAAGTTTTACAAGACGCTGGACTCACTTGCGATATTTTTTTGCAAAATGTATTGCGTGTGTGTCGATTGCGCTGGCGCCTCGACCTGTCCAGTCAGGTCGGCGCCGGCGCCGTGGAGGCGCATCGTTGCAGTTCAAGAGCGTCGGTTGGTAGCTTCGACCTTGCCCGGGATATGCTGTCCGGCGGCGTGGGCGGCGTTTCCGTGGAGCGCCTCGTCGGGCGATGTGGCTAGGAAATTGAGGACACGCTGGCGCGCTTCGGAGCGATGCGTCAGCCCGCCGCTTAGTTGACGCGTCGCGCCCGTGGACTACTAGGCCAGAAGTCCCAAGGGACCAGTCGCTGCCACTCCAAGTGCCTGGCGGACAATTAAGAGTGAAAAGATGAGGGCGAGATGCTAAGGAGGAAGGTCGGGGCTGGATATGACGCCGCTGACATGGTCGGCGAGGCGTTTCCACTTGCGGCGGCCGAGGTGGGCGAGGGGCGCGCTCAGCGGATCAAGGAGTTGACTGGCCATTCCAGAGAGTCGACTGCGCGCGATGGTGGCCCCTCGCCAGAGAGACAGACCATTGGCGCGGGCCCGGGGGGGCCCCTGGCCGCTGAGTGCGATGGGACAGCAGCGGCTGTCGCGCCTAGGTCTGGCGCCCTCGCGCCCCGCCCCCGAAAGCCACGCGCCAGCGGCCACTCTTGCCCAGGGCCATTCTGCGCGCGCGGAGCCGAACGAGGTTCGGCGGCGAGCGAGGGGCGGAAGTGAGAAGGAGGAGGTTTTCTGAGAAGGCGGCGGGACTTTCGGATGCCCTCGCGCCTTCTGAGGGGTTGCCTGCGCCTTCGGGTCAGTCTCAGACAACTTCTCAGGCAGCTGGTGGGTTTCGATCCTTCCGAGAAGGCTTTTTTCTTTTCGCACCTCCCCGGGTTCGCCGCCGAGAGGTGCTCGAAGGCGGGGGGGGGGCCGGCGGCGCGTCGCAGCCGCCCGCGGCCGCGCGGTCGATTGCCGCGACTGAGCGGAAACGTTGCCGGCCAGCGACGCCGAGGAGGATGCCCATCGGGGCCCGCGGGATCAAGCGCGCGTTGGGGCCTCGGGATGGGGAAAAAAAACCAACGTGCACAAACGTTCGTCGATGCCTAGGAATATATGGGAAAGCGCAGGAAGTGGAGGAGAAGACGAACGTCCAGAACGTATGAAACAACAATGTTTCTGAACTTGTGCCCCTGGGCCCCGCCAGGATTATCTTCCCGACTTGGATGCCGCGCTGCGTCCGCGGCGAGCTGGCCTGGCCGCGTCGGCCAGTTCGGCTGCTGGGGTCAGTGTCGTTTGACTGACCCCC